CCCCCCCCCCCTACCCCCGGGGAGAAAAACCAAACTCCTCCTTTCAAAAGTACTTTCTTAGCTAGACAAAGATGCATGTATTCTGGGACAGCTTGGGTACCAGCAACACCATATAAGGTTTGGTATTCCGTTTGTACCAAAACTAGAACAGACTACACTACTACGTTCCTTATTGGTGCTATATTGAGCAGTAATTTTACTGTTTTCTTATTTAATTTAGGTATATTAAGCTATCAAGTCCAAACCTGAATAACGTCATCATCATTGGGTGTATAATGGTCTATTCTACTATATTTCTGTATGGTCTGGATGGCAGAGTTTCGGAAAGAGCATATTCTTTCGCCTGTAGAGTAAGTAGTTGATAAATATATTACTTCAAGAGAGCATGAATAGTCATTTATGCTCTCTTGATTACTTCCTATCGCATAATTGATACTTTACTAGTGGCTTTATGGCTGGAGTCAAGATTTATGGCGTTATATGGCTTAGTTTCACTCTCCTTGTTACGATGTTCAAGTTGTATAAATTATAAGCTTATTTTTACAGCCCCACAAAAGTATTGGAATCTTTTCCGAATTATCAATTTAATAAACCTTATAAAAATACCGGTACTCGTAGACTGTTCTTCCTAAAGCTCATTCTGATTTACAATGACCTAAAGCAACGGTATTGTTCAATATTCCCTAGAGTTTTTTTTCGAATTTCACTCGCTGAGTCAGCCATGTTGTTTTCCAATGTTTTGAGAGCCCGCGCTTTTAGGTGGAAGCAGAACATCAACACCCATAATGCACTGGGGTCTAGATCGGGGTCTTGACTACATTTGCAGGAGTTCGAAGGCGTTCATAAACTTATATTTTTTACGGGGCGCTCCTCGTTGTGTTTTGTTTTAACCAAAATTTTTTATTATCTTCCCAAGGCGAGATTCAGTCTTCTATCATTGGGTTTCACTGTTGGATTCGGCGCCATGTTTTCTAAAACCTGGAGAGTGCATCAGATCTTTATCAGTAACGTAAAGAGAGTAAAAAAGGTATGATTTGGCAACTTTCTTAGCAGCTCTTGGGCACGCCCTCCCTCCCCCCCCCCCTCCCCCAAATCCTGGGTCCTCGCTACGCCTCTGCCCTGGAACCTTCTTCTCCCGGCTGGGCATGCACCCCGGCCAACCCTTCATTCTCAGTAAAGAGTCGCGGAGAACGGACCGCGTATGAGTCACCGCGTATCATATCGATTCTCGCGGTAGTTCTATGATCGTATTGCCCTTGACACTGAGAAACATGGACACACTGAGACACAGGTCGCCGGGACCTGAACGAAATAGGCATAATTTCACAACCAATATTCTAATTCTCAAGGTTAATGATAACCATACTCAATGAATTGCCGTTCAGGTAGTGAGAGATAAAGAATTGTTTAGTCTCCTGGCTGTGATTGTGTGTATCGACGTCTTTCTTCTCATTCTGTGGATGGTGCTTCACCCCCCAAGCAGACAAGTCATCGTCATTAATGGCGTTAGAAGGGTAGGAACATGAATTATCAGTCATATATAGCCAAGCGAATACTTTGCTTCGCGCGCGGTTCATGATCATATAACGTGCAAAACTCTTTGTCGCAAACGTCAGTGATAATTTATTCCTAATCGGTAAATTTACTAAATCACTAATTTACTAAATTACAAATGYTCTATTCTTGTATGACAACCTTCTTGCAAGTGGGTGTATATAGTTTATGTAACATGTATAATTCCTTTTCTTTGCGGTTCAGATCTCTCGAAATCGTGACTATGAAATCGTTTTGTGTCGTGAAGAATGTCGAGGTCCCCACTCGYTACCTTGGTTAGTCACGTTTTACGCCTTCCACAGTCTTCTTCTTGTCTTTGGTTTATTTTTGGCCTTCGAGACGCGCAAGGTATCGGTCCCAGTACTAAACGACTCCAAGTTTATTGGGATCAGCGTATATAACGTGGTTCTTCTATGTGCTATTGGGGTACCTTTGTCACATGTGTCCAGCAGTGAACCCGCGGCTGGTTTTACTCTTATCTGTGCTGTTATTCTATTTTGTACAACCGTCACACTCAGCGTGCTCTTCATTCCTAAGGTAGGCGTGGCCCAGTAAAGAAATATAAAAACGTTTTCCAAAATTAACACGTTAGATGTGGACACATTAGATCTAACGCGCGGTACGCGGATTTGAGAGGTTGGACGCTTCTCTCGTGTTCACTAGACATCCCAAGCGTGGGATCTAACGCGCGGTACGCGGACTTGAGAGGTTGGACGCTTCTCTCGTGTTCACTAGACATCCCAAGWGTGGAATCTAACGCGCGGTACGCGGACTTGAGAGGTTGGACGCTTCTCTCGTATAGACATCCCCAGTGTTAACATCAGAGTATCTAAAACGGAAAACTGTTTCATATTTTTTTATAAAATAACAAGCGCACAAAAGAAAAGAAAAAACTAGCGAAAAAAGCTGTTATATTTTTCGCATTAAACGTCGGAAAAAAGAACAAATGAAGTCAGCATTTTAGATACAGCCAGCTCGTCTAGATTGATATTCCGACCAGTCACTCAGACCGTGCGTTAGAACTAAGTCTTTTGAAAGACAACTTCTATTTCTCCCTGATTGATTTGCACTTCATATTATATCATCTTGCTCTATCTCCATGAAAGGAAATCTGGAATAGCGCTTTGGAAATTCTGTATTCCAGGTACTATAATGATCTCAGATTCTTTTTCCAGTCGATTCCAGATTCCTGATCAGTTTCACTCAAGAAAATATTAAGTAAGCCTACTTAATATTCTTTTGGTTCCACTCTAACATCATTAGTATATATGATATGATTTCATTGGTGATTTTTAACGTACTAAAACTAGGAACTCATTGAACAGGTTATTCAGATGTGGAAGGATCCTAATGGGAACCCTCTTCAGGGGACTATGCTGTCCACCAGGGGACACCACGGACGAGAGGCCAGTACATCAGCAACATGTGATAATTTCACTGAAAGGCATGCGAGACTTGAAGCAGAAATCCTTGTGCTTAAGCAGGAGAATCATAAGGTAATGCTGATGTGAGAAGTGGTAACTTCGGGATCCCTGTGCCGCCCTACTCGTGTTCCCTGGCACTAGTCAGACCGCCATGTTTTGTTCGTTCGTTTTCTATTTTAAGTAGCATATTTCTATTACAATAACGAGACTTTACAACCCCAGGGCCATTACTACTGTTTCGTTTAATAAAACCGTAGAATCAAATTAACCATGTCACACTGATAAGCCTGTACTCAGTCTTAGCTTGGTTTATATTCGCTTCAATACCAACGGAACATTTGAGAATCTAGAGGGTGTTGTGATGGCAGTAGGCTCCCCTAGGCCTCCCCTGCTGGGGACTAAGGTTCAATTCGTGGACTTAACATCAAATGTAACTTTTAAACTATGTTGTTATGCCTCGATATGCAGAGTTTTTACCGTGCTCAGCCGTTTTCCAAGCATCGCAAAATTTCGCAATTCTTATTTGACCTGTACGTTAAAAGGGCATGGCTTTTTTGTGTTTACATTTTTACCCAAAAGTTCTGGTTTTCTTGCCCATATTACTGCTCCATATAAAACGGGGATGCTTATCACTTACCCGGAAAAATCGAAAGTTATTATTTATTAAAAATAAAAAGTATATGTCATTCCCATCGGAAACTTCCGGAACACTCCGATTCCGATTAGGTGATCCACTTTTCCCGCTCTTTTCGGTTCTTCAAGCAAACGCGTGTACGGTTTGTCGGAAGTCAAAGTTTCCCACTCTTCTCTTACCATCAGCTAACGAATTTCCAGCATGATGGATTGGTTTAAATGCTAAGCACCTAGCTCAAAATATTTATTATAATGCATCTTTTTTCCAGCTAAAAAGCAAGCTTTCAGTTTTCAACGACGATGAACCAACAAACGACACTATGGTAGAAAGACTCAGCCCTGTGGACATCCATTTTAATAAAAAATATCCAAATCGGCTTAGCCACAGACAGAAATCCTTACGCTATGTATTTGCCAAGAAACAAGATCAAAATAACTCGACAAAAACTAACAGAAATAACGAGAATAGGCATCGAAATTTCGCCACATCACCGCACAATGTACCTATTCGAAAACAAGGTGGGACACGTGATTCAGAACTGACCTACCGAGGAGATAACATGTTTGAGGGTCAAAATTCTTTACGTGAGCGATCACAAACAAACTGTTCAGTTTTAAAGGAACATGAAGACCCATCCGAGCTGAAACGCAGCAATAGTTTACCATCTAGTTCCATTCATTCAATTAACCACGTACGGGTACATTTACAGTCTCCTGAAGGTTTAGAAGAGAAGGACAGTAGCGATAGCGCCTTGGAATTGCATCAGAAAACATGTCTGAAAAATGGAAAATTGAATTCTGTTTCCAACGGTCGTGATGGGAAAAAGTGTACGCCTTGTGCGAAGAAGATAGACTGTCAGGAACACGACAAAAAGACAAATGGCTATGGTCTACGCGTGTACTGTGTCAAGACAACCTGTTGATTGGGCACTAGATATAATTTATAGAAAACACAGAGTATATAAAAATGTACCCTGGCGTACCGTGCCAGGCTTTGACAGTTAAGTTTACGAGCACTTTAATTGCCGGGATGATCAGTGTTCTTGTGCCGGCATGCATATAAGAGTGGTTTTTGCAAGAGCTGGAAGCCGTGTTACCGGCCGCCGTGTTCTTGAAGCTCATGGTTGAACCTGTTGATTGGGCACTAGATGTAATATATTGAAAACATAGAGTATTTAAGGATGTGCCCTGGCGTACCGTGCCAGGCCTTGACATTTAGGTTTACGAGCATTTTGATTGCCGGGATGATCAGTTTTCTTGTGCCGGCATGCATGTAAGAGTGGTTTTTGCAAGAGCTGGAAGCCGTGTTACCGTATAGTAACCGTGTTTTTGAAGCTCATGGTAGTTAAGACATTTCGCTGTTGCGGTATCTTGTACCGTGTACGTACTGTAAGTGATCAGACTCATGCATGCATTTTACCGGCACAAATACAAAAGCTGCTTGATCAGGTTTTCTCGATTCGCACCGTARCCCGGCGTGCCGCGTGGCGTAATGTTTTCATAGAACAAGAAGAATCTTGCAAAAATCAACTTTAGCTATATATCATTAGCATACGTACATAAATATGAAATAAAGACTTCACTACGATTTATATCCTGTTACAGCAGACTCCTTGCTCATCAATGAGGGAAATGGTGGGAAGAAGTGATGTTGCGCACGGGATTCGCATGAACGTTTTAAAATGCTCATAGCCCTCCCTCTTTCAAAAAGAAATTCATGACCTTCCTATTAAAATAAAAAGATTTGACCGTCCACAAATGAAGTTCAATTTTTACTGATACCCCCTTACCTACCCCCTAACGAAAACGTAAATTTCCTAAGGAATTCACACAGATGTTTTACTAATATATATCCGCTGAAGAAAAGCTTAGGCTGAGTACTTCCCGTGGGGGGGGGGGGGGCACTCCTCTATACTCGTTTTACGGGATGACGTGCCGCCATGGTCAGGGTTCAGTGGGCTCAGCGGCACAGCCCTACCCTAAACGGGCAAGAGTGAGTACTTCAAACCTGTCTGCACAAAAATA